TTTCAAAACATTATCTCCAAAAGCATTAACACTTTTACTTCAAAACGTTTCATATATCAAAACATTAGTATTTCATTATTATAAAAATCATTTTGCCATGTACCCCAAAGTGGGGAAAATTCCAACACGTACTCACCTCAATCACACGTAGGTTAGCTAATGCTCTTCTGGTTCCTTTCCCTAGATTAATCCTCTTCAAATACTACCTACATCATATATGGACATAAGTCATTAAAATGACCAAAATACCCCTAAAATGTTCAAATACTAAATTTTATTGTTTCAAATCATTCCTCATGCAAAAATATGAATGTACGCGAAAACCGTGCGTAAATCCGAGTCCGTATGCAAAAGTTATGAAGAAAACCAGAAAAATCCTCAAATCAGGGGATTACACGGGCAGTGTCAATTAAGCATAAATTAACACGGGTCATGTTTCCCTGTCTGTACACACACAAAACTCAATTTTTCTCAAAATAACACTACACTTTGCATAGTTCTTGAAGACCCTTTTCCAAATCACTTTGTACCATTTGTATAGGTTGTCACACATGTTTAGGAGGTGTTTTATCATCTTAAAACACTCCACTTAATCCATTAAGTGTTCATTGAAACCTTAAGATCATGATGATCCTTAAGTGTTTAGAAGAAGAGTAAACTAGTCCATTTTTCACTTGAACATTCCAAAGCTCACAATGCTTGTTCCCAACTTATTGAACACCCAAATAAATGTTGTCAAGCACATAAAACCTCCATTAATCTCATTGAAAATACTTAATCCAACAATGGAATCCTCAATTCCATTCCATGTTTCCTAAATTGCCCTTTTTGCCCAAACAATCACTAGAGCTATAAACTTACTAGCATCCCCTCTTGTTTATGTTTCACTATCATCTCTTAAGTGTCAATTCATGTTCATGAATATCATTCACTTCTTATATGAGATTCATTATGTAATTATCAATAAATTTCCCAAAATGCCCTTATGGCCAATTATTCCATAAATTCAACTATAGATCGCTCAATCCTTCATGTTCTTGCATTCAAATCATATTTTTTAGTATCAACTCATGATTATGAGTATCATATACTCATCAAATGCTCACATTCCAAGAATTTCATTGTTATCATCACAATTTCTCACATAACCATCTAAAACCCATGTTTATGCAACATTCTCCCATCATAGATGTGTTTGATCATTCTAATTGGATTCATTGTCATCAAACATCATCTAGGTCATTGAATCCATTCCAAATCTAACATATAAACATTAAATCCCCAATTTGAATTTCTAGGGTTCATGAGGGTTTTCACCTAAATCCTCAAATCCATCAATGGGATGATTGGATTGAGATTAGGATCATCAAAACAACTCAAGGGAGGTTAGAAACCAAAACCCTAATCATTAAACCCAATCAAATTTGACATTGGGGTTCATCCCCTTCATTAATTCGAATTTTAAGCTAAATGGGGAGGTGTTTTTTACCTTGCAAGCCTTGAATCCTTCTCTCATTTGCTTGTTTGCTTAATTCACCACTTGAATCACACCCTAGATGGGAGATAGAAGAAGAATCGCCATTAGAAGCTCTCTAGAATGCTTCATACGTATCTGGAAGAGAAGTGAGGAGAGTGTTAATCTTATTTCCCTCTTTTTCACATTTAGTCCCTCAATTTTCATAATTTTGTCAAAAATGGTCCATTCCAACACATGTGACTTTTCTTTGATAATAGACATCCTAAGTCCCTCTCCATCCATTACATAACTTTTTTTTAGTCACTTCCATTAGTTGAGTCAACCCTTAGTCAAACATACTTTGCCAAATTGGCACTTTTGGTCACTTAACTCTTAAATGTTAACATTTCAACCTTTAACTTTCTAAGCTTTATATCAACTAATGATATAATTACCATTTAAATGACTTAATTATGTAAATAATCCTTTATTTAATTACTTAATTAATTTAAGAACCTTATCTTAAATTTTAGGATGTTACATTTTAGATCATATTTTTTTGCATCATATACTTTTTTAAACATAAATATTTGCATCTCAATTAATAGTAATGATGAAAAATATATGATACATATTTTACAAACCATCTATGATAAATAATAAAAAATGTATGAATCATATTATTATGGATCACGTTAAGTTATGGATCAAATCATCATCCAAAAAAATTATTCATATTATATTTTTGGGTCATATAAATTGTGTCATATATTTTCTAAACCAAATACCTTTTAAATGATAAACGTTCTTTATCCATGCATTACAATGGACAAAATCTACATAACATAACATTATATTTCCAGTGTTTTGATGAAAATGATCAACTATGATCCAAACATGCATGTATAAACTATGTAGTGTACTTTTCTCGAGTTATGCATTGTAAAATCTATACACATTTTATGTCATATTATTCAACCTTCATATTTAATTGTTATGAACCAAAACTTGTTATGATCCAGAAGTTGTTATGATTCAAAACTTGTGATGAACCAAACATGTTGTGAACCGATACTAATGTGAAAAACCTGACACGAGTTAAAATTTTATGATTCAAATTTGATATCATTTTAAATGATATGATTCAAAATAATACAATTCAAAGCATGCAACCATTTAATTTGTATTCAAGTTTGTTTCATAACATATTGAAAAACAGGATACAAACAAAAAATTATGTAACACGTGATATAATTCAAAGTATAAAACTATTTGCATCATAACAAATTTGGCTATCCAAAATCTGTTAGAAAATCAAAAAAAATTTATGAACAATAACTTATGTGAAAATTTTAACTTGATTAAAAATTATATTATTTAAAACATATGATCCAAAAGATATGATCCAAAATCGGATTATTCAAAATTGATATGACTAAAAATGATATATATGATTTAAAATTATATGATTAAAAATATTACGATCCAAAATGATATGATTTTAAGAATATGATTATAGTTATAAAAAAGTTGTTTCCAAAAGTCTGTTATATGATTCAAAATGATATGATCCAAAATGTTATGATACAAAATGATATGATTCGAAATGTTATGATTCAAAATGACATGATTTCAATTATATGATATAAAATGTTAGGATCCAAAAATTTATGATTTCAATTATATGATTCAAGTTACGAAGAGTTGTTTCCAAAAGTTTCTTATATGATTGAAAAATATTATGATCCAATGTATTATGATACAAAAAAATTATGACAGAAAAACTACATGTCAACCTAACTTTGTATGGACAACCAGAACCATCCTTGTGTGGAATTTTGTCCATAATATTACAACATATAACTAGTTGGAGAAGTACAAATACAAAAAGAAAAAGTAAGAAAAAAAGAAGAAGATAAACATCACAAAACTAACAAGATTACATAATATCACTAGTTATATGTGTAAAGATCAACAACAACTTGATCAAGGTGAAGTATAACTGGATCATAATTTAAGAAACCTATGAGAGGCCAACTCAACCAATAAGATTAATCATAATTGAAACAGCAGGAAAAAAAACCTTTTAAAAGGAACCGTTTATCAGAAACCACAGTTTGTTTATATACTTGTTCTGAATTTTATGTGAAAGAAATCCAAAAGCTACATCAATATACCTTATTAAGAAACAAATTAGATGTGACACCCCTTTTTAGGAAAGAAATCCAACAACACCAATACTAAAAAACTCTAACCATATAAAAAAAATACCAAAATCTTGAGCGGTTAGTCAAAGCCTCCACACAAGTTGAGCCGATAAAACAATAAAACACAATTAACATCCTCCATAAAATAGGTCTTTTATCAACTAATATGAGGAAAAGCAAGCACAATAAGGTCTTTTTAGATTTAACTCAAGTTCACCACTTGGAGAAAAAGCAAGCACAATAAGGTCTCTTTAGATTTAACTCAAGTTGACTACCTGGTCATTGAGAAATAAATTAAATCCAGTTGATTTCTAATATAAAGAATGAAAAATTAAAATGGTATGGAAACAATTGATCCACCCTTTTGAAAAATAAGTGTCTTCACCTCTGAAATAACTTTGTTTTAAAACGTATGCTTTTGTCTTCACATTCCTTGGCCCAAAAATGTTTAAAGTCTATTCAAATTGTTACATATAACTACTTTAATTTTCTCATAAATAACCTCCAACTTACCTTTGTTTGCATGAGATCATGAACTCTTTTAGGCATTTCATCAAGCACTTGGTAGGCATCAATAAACATAGGTTAACAACCATTTTATAATTTAATTCATTCCCTCTAAATCTTCCTATACCATATACCATACTGATATGGCTTCAAATATTAACGAATCTAACTATAATTCACCGTTTTTAATAGAAAATTGAGATAAATACATCAACTTCTTAAAGGATTTCATTATGATAGAAGCTGATTTTGTGTAATTTGAAACAGATGATGATGATAACTTGTAAAAATATCTTTTCATGTTCGAATCTAACATGAGTTTACGTTATTTGAATCGTATGTTGAAGCTTTCACTAGAAACAATGATGATTTCAATGTCTTTTGAGGTTTTCTTCTTTGCTGGATGAACGAAGAAGAAGACGATGAACAGTGAGCGTCTTATTATCCCAACATGTTTTTTGGTTTAGCCCAGCTAGGCCCGCCCCAACTCATTTTTTTCAACCCAATACTTTTTTTGTTTGACGGAATTTCCCTTAATGAACACAATTGGACGAGAATTGTCCTTGCAATCCTCACTGTTTTTTGAGTCCTCACTGGATAAGTTTGCACACTGTTATATTTTTAACAAACTCCAACAAAAGAAGTTTCCAAAATACAAGTATTGACTTATTAGTAATTTGCATGGACAATTTCACACGAATAGTAATCTGCATGAACTTGACAACTAATTAAAAATTTCAACATATGACATGTGAACGTTTGAATTCAAGAGGCATAATTGAAGAAGTCCATTTGTATTAAAATGCAACGATGATATTGCATAATCTTATAACGGTTTATTGCAAGTTACAACATATGATATAGCAATATTACAAGCTATATTATACACAAATCAAACGGATTTATTCTTTAAAATAGACAAGATTAAATAATCTTAACATTACAACTTTGACTTCAATTCATCTTTCCCAGATTCTGTTCGAATCCTTTTCTGGGCTTTAAAGAGAAACTCATGAACTTCATCAAAATGAGGTGCAGTCGCTTTCTTTGTATCTTCAATCCACTCAACAACTTTCTTGAAAGGGCTTAATATTCGTTCACATTCCTTCTCACTCAGAAGCTAAACACATGAAATTTTATATTTTTAATTAAGAATTAGCCAAAAACATGAAGATCATAAACATATTAAATAACATGTTGATTACCTGAAGTTGCATAATTTCACATACTAAACTGATATCTGCAATTGAAGGTTGAGAGCTTCCAACCAAAAATCTTCCATCTTTTAGCCAAAAAGTTTCTAATGTATTCAAAGATTTCTTGAGTATCCCCTCGGCTTGATTGACTACTTGAGGATATGCATGGTGTGAATCATTATGTGCCAAGATAGTGTTGAAAACAAGTCCAGCTGAAAGTAGAAAACCAATCAATTTTCAGGGTTTAAGATCTTATTAATTTATTATTTTATTTAATATATAGTAAAAGTGTAATACATTATACAACTACATATTAATTATTACCTGAACCACGGCGTAAATTGGAATGATGCCAGTCTAGAACAGAGTGGATCTTAGCTCTTTTGGATAAATCACCAGGATACCTATGGATAAGATTAAGCTTTTATATATAAATGATAAATCCATGGAGTTTAATGAAGTTTGGAATTTGTATAAAGATATGGAAGATGAAGAAAATTGACTCACCAATGACTAGCTACTCCTGGAAATGCACTACAGATGTAGATAAGAATTGCATGACTGAAAATAACAGCATTTCAGAGTTTTTTTACAACATTTATGAATCCATATAATATTTATTAATAGCATAAGGAGTAAGGATTTTGGATAAGAATTAAGAAACAGAAAGAACCTCTCAAACAGCTTGAAGCGTCCATCAACTATAGCTGGAACTTGATGCATGGGATTTATTGCTGCATAAAACATAAGCAGTTAAAAGTTGTTAACTAAATATGCAGAATTTGATACAAAATCATTATCAAACCTTTATATTCAGGGCTGAATTGCTGGTTTTTCAAGACATCTACTCGGATTTCCTCGAAATCTATCCCATTTATCCTGCAAATAACATCCAAAAAAGGGCAAGTTTAGACAAACATCAGATAGACTTGTGGATTAAAAAAAAAAAAGAACAAAAGCGCAACCCTAACTGCAATAAGTAACAGACCAATAATAACCCCAACTGAATTTGCACAAATTAAAAGAAAATGGGTAGAAATGTTACTGTAAGTGATGAAAGAAACCCTAGAATGTACATTTGAAGAACAAATTTCAATTCAACAAGAATCTGAGTAATCAACTAATTGTTTAAAAAGCGTGCACTCAGTCAAAAGTCAACACAGGGCAAAAAAAAGGCATTTGTAACTAATTTAGTAAATTATCGAAAAGGGGAGAAATTCATATACTTGCAGAAGATGAGAACAGCACGAGATGGCTGGGACATCCGATCAGCATATACCTTCAGCGCCATGATTCTCGAGGAGCTCAAATCGAAATCGAATCCTGGGAATGTGAAGACTCAAACACCAAGATTTTCAAGTATAGTACACCATCTTTGACCTTTTTGAAATGAAAAATACAATTATCAGTTTGTCACCACGGCCTCAGCCAACCTCATCTTTTCTCTTTGTTTTTGTTTTTCTTAAGAAGTAAAAAAGGTATTTTACAGGTTGTTTGGCTGATTATTCAAAGAGAAAATCAGTATTATAATTAAATTTGTTAATTACTTTGTAAAAAAATAGTAAAAAAAAAAAATCAAAATTACATACAATAGCCATCAATTTCGCAGATGGATTAAGACCAGCTATGAAATGAGTATTTCATCTGCGAATATACAAATAGTTTATGTACATTTCTGTTTCGGAAACTTGTACGTTAACAGATGGAAAATTCATCTATGAAATCTGCAATAACCATTTATAAAATCATTGTTTGAAGTATAAATACCAGCAAGTTAGCCACATTTCATAGATGGATTGCAATCCATCTATGAAATGCTCTCATTTCATTTATGATTTGTCGGTAGATTTAAAAAATATATATATAGTTAGTTTTGACTATGAATTTCTTAAGGTTGACTACGAAATCAAATAGTTATGATTATGAATTGATACAAATCAATAGATTTTATATTAAAAATTGCAAAAAAAATCTTAGCTTATGATTTATATCTTTGGAATTATTGTTTAACTTCTCCGAAGAATACATTTTCTTGTCCATAGCTTCCTCAAAAAATGTTCTCAACCAAAAAACTACAAATGAGTGATTTAAAAGAAAAAAAGTTTTTATACCTAAAACTTGTTGATTTCATAGATGGAATGACTAATTTTATAGGTGGATTTTCCATATGTGAACGTACAAGTCTCCGAAACAGAAACGTGCATAAATTGTTTGTACTTTCGCAGATGGAATATTTATTTCATAGCTGGTCCTAATACATCTGTGAAATCGATGGCTATTGTGTGTAATTTTGTTTTTTTTTTTACTATTTTTTACAAAGTAATTAACAAATTTGGCTATATTAGTAATTCTCCTTTATTTAAAAACTTCATGTTAACTTATTTACTTCTCAAAAATCAATAAGTTTTAAGTGTTTGGCAAAAGAAAAAGATTTTTTTAAACAATTTCTTCTTAACTTTTTGAAAAAGAGTTTTTAAGACCTCATGATTTATAATTTTTGCAAACTCTATGATTTTTGGTTAATAGCTTCTCCTTAACCATTTGAAAAAGAGTTTTTAAGTCGAACAATTTTTAGAAAACAACTTCTTGATTTTTTTCACTACAAAAGCTAATCCAAACACTTTAAAAAACTTTTTTTCCTAACCTTCATAAGTCAATTAGTTTTTTTTGGATAAAAATCATTTTTAACTTCAAAATGAAATCTCAAACACCTTCTAGATGAGCACATTTTTTGGTTAATTTTATCCTCATAGTGTTCGAGTCTTCATCATGTTTGATTTTTTATGGAAGAATAGGATATATATATATATATATATATATATATATATATATATATATATATATATATATATATATATATATATATATATATATATATATATATATTGAAGAATGCAATGTCCAGCTGACTGACATGTATATTAATATTTACGTTATTTTAATATTTAGCTATTTTCAATCATTAGTTTGTTTTACTTTTTCTGCAAGCTAGAAATAGTTGGTTTTTCCTAAAGACTAGGTAGACGTTATGGACCAGTGGGTAGCAAGGTAGTTCCTAGTTTTCAGATTTTTCTTTTCCTCTCTTTATTATGTATGTGGTTGTGCTTTCTTTTCAGCTTAATAGTGACAGAAGCATACAACCAAGAATACTTGCATTGTCTTGTTCTCTTTTCTTTACTCATACCCAAAAGCAAGCCTTTCCACTGTTGGTAACAACTAACAACCGGTATCAGATTCGGTTGTATATAAAGTAGAAACATGTATGAGTTTTAAGCTATCGGTGGTGTTAAAAATTAGGTAATACAAACTACAATACGTGGTAGACATGCATGAGTTCATACCTAACTAACTGGCCAGGGCTTATAAGATGTAGTAAGAGGAGCAGATACCATAGAACTGAGAATTGACACCAACGGAGCGATACACAAATGGAGAGTCAAGACCAGGCAAAGTGTTGTTCGTTATCAAAACAACCATCGAGGAGGAGTTTCTTGAATACATTCGGGACCTTAGCACACCAAATTAAAAAGGCATGGGACACGTTGAAGACTTTGTTTTCGAAGAAGAATGACACAAAGTTGCAATTTCTTGAAAATGAATATTGCTTTCAATGTCACAACGGGATTTAACAATCCCTTAGTATTTTCACAAAGTCAAAATGTTGTGTAGGGAGATTGGCGAGCTTGACCCAGAAGGAAGGATTATATATAGAACCGAGAATGAAACAAATTATCATTTATGGTTTGAAGCCGGAATACAGGAGCTTCGTAACTGCGGTGCAAGGTTGGCCTATGCAGCCGTCCTTGAATGAGTTCGAGAACTTGTTGGCGATTCAAGAAGCATATGTCCATTGATTCGTCTTCTTCGTCAGGACACTTCTAGGCAGAAGCCATGGGGTACGTTATAAATCGTTTGCCTTCTCCGTCTCTTGGTTATAAATCACCGTATGAGAAGTTAACCGGAAACAAACCAAATGTAACATGTTTAGAGCAATAGAGGTAATGCTCACTTTTGAAAACAAAAGCCTACCTTATATGTCATGTCAAGAAAGCTGGTTTGCGTGAGATTTATCTTTGTATCAAATAATAATAATAATAATAATAACAACATGTTTTACACAAAGAAAACAATTTGTAAAACAGTAATAATATATTCTCCTAAACGTTCTCTTATACATTGGACAAAAATTTCTAAACCTAAAATAACATCACTTGTTTTATTTTTTATTTTTTGTCAAATGTCCGTTGGGAAGAAGTATATAAGAGTACTATTTTAAAATAACACCATCACCTGTATTCTTCAATAATTTATGAAATCCAGCTAATTAAAATGCAATGACGATTACATACTTTATTTCAACTTAATATAGTTCATATAGCAGCAACATTACGTGGTGAATTATACAGATATCAAACTGAATTTAGTCTTTACCAAAAAGAAGTTTATTTTTAATTTTACAACTTGGACTTCAATCTTTCCCAGATTCTTTTGCTGTCTGCTCTCGAATTCTTTTCTGGGCTTCAAAGAGAAACTCATGAACTTCATCAAAATGAGGTGCAGTCGCTTTCTTTGTATCTTGCATCCACTCAACAACTCTCTTGTAAGGGCTTAATATCCGATTACAATCCGTCTCACTCAGAAGCTAAACACATAATATATATTTTAATTAAGGATTAGCCAAAAGGATAAATGTAATTGAATACTACTTTGATTTAATATGCTTACCTGAAGTTGCATGATTTCACATACTAAACTTAGATCTGCAATTGATGGTTGAGAGCTTCCAACCAAAAAGCTTCCATCTTTTAGCCAAAAGTGTTCTAATTTAGTCAATGATTTCATGAGTAACTTTTCGGATTCCTTGGCTGTTTGAAGATTTGAAGGGAGGCCAAATAATGGTGCCAAGATAGTGTTGAAAACAAGTCCAACTGAAAGTAGAAAAGTATGATATGATAAGATCATTGTCCAACAAATCTGTTGTTTAAAAATAAAAAAATAAAGTAGATATAATTATCACCTGTCCCACGGCGTAAATTTGAATGATGCCAATCCAAAACAGAATGGATTTTAGCTCTTATGGTTAAATCACCAGGATACCTATACATCTAATAAGTTAATAACCTTATAATCTTCATATATATATATATATATTCATTTAAAATTAAGTTTAGAATTTGTATCAAGATATGGAACTAACTCACCAATCACTAGCAACTCCTGGAAATGCACAAGATAAGTAGATAAGAATGGCATGACTGAAAATCACAACATTTTGAGTTTATTTACACCATAAATGAATCCAAATAGAATAAGGACTTTCAAATTATAAACAGAAGCAACCTTTCAAACAGCTTGAAACCTCCATTGACTATTGCTGGAACTTGAGACATTGGATTTATTGCTGCATAAAATTTAAAACAAGAGCATTGTATTTACATTCTTTTAGTAATAATATCAATATGTAACCTTATACTTTGCCATTGGTAAATGATAGATGTGTACTTTCTTAACTAAATATGCAGGATTTGATACCAAATCGGAAACAAACCTTTGTATTCAGGGGTGAATTGCTCGTTCCTCAAGACATCTACTCGGATTTCCTCAAAATCTATCCCATTTTTTCTTCGGAAAAAGCCATAATAAGAATGATGAATTTAGACAAGCATAATCAGATAGAAAATAGCTTGTGCATAAAAAGAAACACAAAACACAACCCGAATAGGATTAAGTATCAATTTAACAATAAACCAACTCAATTTGCACCGATTAATAGAAAAGGGAAGGACGAATTTCAATTCAACAACCAGAGAATCCGATTAAAGATCACTATAAGCCTGAGCAATCAAGTAATCGCTTCAATACTTGCAGTCGATCACAAGTCAATGACCAAAGCGGTTGGTATTTATTTACAATCCGATCAAAGAGAAGGAATTTGTAAGTAATTTACTAAATTATCGAAACGAGGAAGAAGATAATAAATATACTTGCAGAAGATGAGAACTGCACGAGATGGTTGGGACATCCGATCAGCAAATACCTTCAGCGCCATGCTTTTCGAGCACAGACTGAATCTTCGGAGTTACAAAAAATTTCAACTCCAATAAACAATCGTTCACCTCTTTATGATTAACAACGTAATCGTCAGCATGAGTTTAAATTAGTATTTAATGCTCCAGACCACTTGTAGGATATACTAATACTAATAATATATTCTCCTAAACGTCATCTTAATATACACTTGACATAAAAATTTCTAAACCTAAAATAACATCACTTTTTTTATTCTTATTTTTATCAAATGTGGGTTACGAAAAAGTGTAGGAATATATAACACCATCACCTATATTCTTCGATACTTCTTTATATGAAATCCAGGTAATTAAAATGTAACGATGATTACATAATCTCATTAATGGTTTATTTCAACTTAATACACATATCATATAGCAACATTACGTGGTGAATTATACAGAAATCAAACGACTTTAGTCTTTTTACCAACACAAGATTATGTTTGATTTTACAGCTTTGACTTCAATTCTTTTTTCCCAGAAGATTCTTTTGCTGTCTGCTCTCGAATTCTCTTCTGGGCTTTAAAGAGAAACTCATGAACTTCATCAAAATGAGGTGCAGTCGCTTTCTTTGTATCTTCAATCCACTCAACAACTTTCTTGTAAGGACTTAATATCCGATGACACTCCTCCTCACTCAGAAGCTAAACACATGAAAGAAAAAAAATTATGTTTTTAGTTAAGAATTAGCCAAAAAGATGAATGTGATGAAATATTTTGATTCTATAATATATGATTACCTCAAGTTGCATGAGTTCACACACTAAACTGAGATCTGCAATTGAAGGCTGAGAGCTTCCAACCAAAAATCTTCCATCTTTTAGCCAAAAGTTTTCCAATTTAGTCAATGATTTCATGAGTATCTTCTCAGCTTGTTTGGCTGCTTGAGGGCTTGAGGGGATGCCATTTAGTGGGGCCAGGATAGTGTTGAAAACAACTCCAGCTGAAAGTACATATAAAAATCCAAACATATGTTACTTAATACCCCAAAACCAATCAAAGTTGTGGTTTAAAATCCAATCACTGAATTTTTTATTTAAAAAAAAAAAAAACATGTATTACCTGCTCCACGACGTAGGTTGGAATGATGCCAGTCTAGAACAGAGTGGATTTTAGCTCTTTTGGATACATCACCAGGATACCTATGGATGTGATTAAGCTTTTATATATATATATATATATATATATATATATATATATATATATATATATATATATATATATATATATATATATATATATATATATATATATATAAATGATAAATCCATGGAGTTTGGGATTTGTATGCCTCTAGAGATATTGTCATATTGAAGGAGAAGAAAACCAGACTCTTACCAATGACTAGAAACTCCGGGAAATGAACATGATAAGTAGATAAGAATCGCGTGACTACAAAATAACAACAAATTCAAATTATGAAAACCGAGAATTTATATTGTGCAATAAACTGAAATTTCTTTAAAAATAAGAGAAAAAAACCTCTCAAACAGCTTAAAGCGTCCATCAACTATTGCTGGAACCTGAGACATGGGATTTATTGCTGCGTAAAACATACAAGACACACACAACAATCCTTTATCTTCAAATTCATATAGCATGTTGTTACATGTCTATAGACTATAATGTTGAATAAACTGTTGAACTTTATCTTTTTGAAAAAATGAAAACTTTGCCCTTAGTAGATGTGTACGTGTACAACAGAGAGAATTGTGATTAACCAAATATGCAGAATTTGATACAAAATCAGAAACAAACCTTTATATTCAGGGGAGAATTGCTCGTTCCTCAAGACATCTACTCGGATTTCCTCAAAATCTATCCCATTTATCCTTCAAATAACATCCAAATAAGCCATAAGAAAGACAAATTTAGGCAAGCATAATCAGATAGATTATAACTTGTGCATAAAAAGAAACCCTAATAGGATTAATAAGCCCAATTGAATTCACCCATGAAACAACATATACATACACATCAAGTTACGAAACTCAAGTATCATTGCAAGAAATTGTTGTAGGCCAGATGCTAATGAAGGAAAGACAAGTAGAACATATAACAGTAATAATAGAAAACCAACTCAATTTGCAAAGATTAGTAGAAAAGGGGCTTATCGTTGTAGAAATGTTACCGACCAATTTCAATTCAACAGCCAGAGAACCCAATTTAAAGATCATGGTAAGCCTGAGCAACCAAGTAATCGCAACAATACTTGTACTCGGGCCACAGGTCAATAATCAAACCGTTGGTATTTTATTTACTACGGATGAAAGAGAACGAATTTAAACTAATTTACTAAATTATCGAAACGAGGAAGAAGATAACATACTTGCAGAAGATGAGAACTGCACGAGATGGTTGGGACATTCGATCAGCAAATACCTTCAACGCCATGCTTTATTGCTTTTCGAGCACAGACTGAATCTTGGGAGTTCTAAAGTCCACCACCAAAAAATTTCAACTCTTTATCATTAACAACGCAGTCGTCAGGATGAGCTCAACATCATCCTGTTTGTTTGTGGAAGAAACTTAGAACTCCTAACGTTTGCTTTCTATAATCCATAGAATTTTATAATTTTTTTTTTTACTTCAATATATTGAACTCTCTTAATGTTACAAAATGTAATTTAAAGTAAATATTTAAAAATTAAAAACTTTTATTTTTCCTATTGAATGGTCATTGAACTCCAAATCCATTGAATGTCAATATGGCATCTCACAATGGTAAAGTTTTATTCATTGAATAACACATAGACTTGTCATCTCATTCAACTCTCTCATTAAACTCATCATTATGGATGCTCTTAGCATTTGGTAGGAAATGGTAACACTCTTAACACTCTATATTTTTTATTTTCTTTTTCTAATTTAATTAAATTATTTTATTTAATATAAAATCAGTTTTTGTGCATAAATATTAAAGAAAATTTATTTTTTTTAAACCACAAAAAATTAATATAATATCAATTATATTTTTTTAAAACACAAACATTTCATATTAAATTAAAAAAGTTACAATAAATTAAAACTTAAAATACCTAAAAACACGATTTAATAATTCAAACCACGCCAAACATGACTTAACACCGACAGACACGAACCTAGAAACGCTACTTACTACATAAAAAATACACTTCATAATTAAAACACACTTCATAAAAAAACACACTAAAGCAACGGGTCTTCCTCCGAATACTGACATTCCAATTTGTCTTCCGATGGCATATTTAGATCAAGATTGTCCATCGTCCAAAGATGATCGGTTAAATGTCGGCGAAGATCGGTATGGATTATTGCACTGTGAATTATCCTCTGTAACGCCCTGTTCTGAAAGTATTCGTTTATGGATTTCAGAGCCCGAGGCTAGGGGAGTTTCGGTCTTTTATGGGTCTTGAAGTTTTTATTTGAGAAGTTTTGGGCCGAGGTGTGTCACTAGAAGCGTTGGGCTTCTCGCCACCTTTTCGTGGATATAAAGATCGTCGGAAACGGAATTAGAATGAAGGAGTTATAGCACTTTGAAGTTATTGACATTAATGGTCCCTTAATGGAAGAAGTTGGCAAGAAGGACCATGCATGCAAAGTGGAAGGCGCGTGAGTACGCCCAGCATAAGCTGGGTTACGCCCAACGTATAAAGGGAAATGGTCGCGAGTGCTTTTGGCGTACGCCCAGCGTACGTCCAGAGTCCAGAAACCCTAAATTTAGGGTGTGTCTCTATATAAGGAACATTATACCCTCAAGGTTCAGCCTCTATTCCACCCTAAAGAACTGCTACGAAACCCTAAACCCTCTTGAGTGTTCTTGGAGCTTGTAAGACCATTTTGGAGTGCATTTTAGTGTTCTTGGAGAGGAGTGATCATCTTGGAGTCTCATTGATCAAGGAAGAGCTTTTAGATTCAAGTTCTCCAGCTCATCTACAAACCCCAGAAGGTATAAAGCTTCCAACTTTCCTCATAGAAGCTTAGATCTAGGTTTATGGAGCTTTGGACCTTTTTAGGTCCAAAGAATGGACCTTTATGGTGCAACTTCGTTTTTGAGCTTGGGGTTGCCACCCTCAAAGCTAAAAGTGTCCCATAAGTAGTAAAATTTCAATCTTGATGGTCCTAATGAGTTCATGCATGATATCTAGCCCTTGTTATGGAAGTATATTGTCACCTTTTGAGTTTGGGCTTATTTGGTGGGTTGCAAGTCACCAAGTTAGTGACTTTATGGACTAAGACGTGGAAAAGGACCTGGATCTGAGTTGGTAGCCTCTGGAGTGGAGTATTAAGCACTTACTGGGGAAGTGTCTTAATAGGGGGAGTACGCTCAGCGTACATTCAGGTACGCCCAACGTACATACCATTTGGCTAATACGCTCAGCGTACATAGGAGTACGCCCAGCGTAATCATCAGTTTGGGTTTGGCATGTGTTGGGCCTCGACTTGGGTCGTGCTTTGGGTCTTTGGGCCTTTTGGGCCATCAGAAGTCAGATATTATGGGCCAAGGATATATTTGGGCTTAGGGTAAGGCCCATTAGAGGGATTGGGCCCAGTTTAGCAAATTGGGCCATTAGTGGGCCACTAGTGGGCTTGGGAAGCTTACCTAGTGTTGGGCCTTTTATATTATGGTGTGGGCCTTAGTTATGGACCAAGTTGGCCTAGAAGTAGAATGGTCATTCTACCCTATGAAGGATTATTGTATTGGACTAAGTGTTAATTTGGTGTTGGTAGCTCGGGGAGCCGAAGGAGCAGCAGTTCGGGATTTGGCAGATAGCAGCCAGAGGGATATCAGCAAGGTTTCAGCAGTGCAAGGTGAGTCTCCTCACTGTGTGAATGGGTCTACGGCCACAATGCCGACCCATGTAGTTTATGAGTAGGACGACCCGGGGGATAGCCCTAGGCACTGTATGCTAGTATGATATTCCAGACCAAGGTCTGATGTCGGGCGGGAGCCCGAGGTATGTTTGCATGATAGATTATACTTGTTGTCTGTGTGATACTTGTATATGCCTGGTAGGGAGGTGAGTGTGGGCGAGGTCCCGTATCTCACCATTAGCAGAGTGTGGACGGGGTTCCATATCTCATTAGAAGTAGAGCAGGGGTGGGGCCCGAGTGAGGAAAGGAGTGAGTGTGGACGAGGGACCGTACCTCACTATCAGCAGGAGTGTGGACGGGGTTCCATGACTTACCAGTAGCAGGTCAGGGGCGGGGCCCAAGATAGGCGAGGCCTTAGTACAGGGATACAGTAGAATATGTCTAGCTTATGTGTTATGTGTTATATTATATGTTTGAATATGCTTAGCGGGCGGGGCCTAAGAGAAACAGATATGTATACCGAGCGGAGCTCGATGCCAGGCGGGGCCCGATGCCGGAGCGAGTCCGATGCCGGGCAAGTCCCGATGCAGCGGGTCGGGGCCCAGTATGTGGTTATGTGTATGGTATGTGGTAGTTTGGGGAACTCACTAAGCTTCGTGCTTACGGTTTTCAGTTTTGGTTTCAGGTACTTCCGGTAGCGGAGGGAAGAGCTCGGGGTGATCGCATGGCACACACCATTGTTTATTTAGCCTGGGATGTTTTACTCTGATAAATTGAACTTGTTTGAATTAATACTCTATTTGAATAATACTCTGCTAGCAGCAGGTGGTTGGCTGATGTCGCCAACGCTTTCCGTACGATCCGGTGTCCCGAGGGGGACAAGGTCCGACTTGCCTCCTGTCTTCTGAAGGACAGAGCACGGGATTGGTGGGAGGAGGTTGGTCATGCCATTGGGGATGATGTCGCGTTGAACACGATGACATGGAGTGATTTCTCGATCATATTCAGGGCCTAGTTTGCACCAGTGATTGAGGTGAAACAGTTAGCACGAGAGTTTCAGGATTTTCGGCAGACTACAAAGACAGTGGCGGAGATCACCGCCAAGTTCAGGGAGATGGCTCTTCTTGTTCCGCAGTATGTCGCGGACGAGGAGATGAAGAAGGCCCGATATCACGAGATGTTGAGGAGTGACATCAGGGAGTTTGTGAGCAGGTCCAGCTGCAAGACGCTGGAGGATATGATTGCTCGGGCCAGAGAGAGGGAGATCAATCTGGAGCACCTCAGGAAGAGGAAGTCGGAGGAGGTTCAAGTAGCTGCAGGTTCAGGCAAGAGACCCAAGGGGTCAGATGTGAGATCGAGGGATTATCAGGAGCGCAATCGTTGTGGAAAGTGTGGCAGGACGCACGAGGGTGCGTGCAGGGGTGGTAGTGGAGGTGATTTTGGCCGCTTCAAGTGCGGCCGGACTGGTCATTTCAGCATGGATTGTACTGCTACCACCACTCAGGGATAAGATCTGATATGTTTTCATTGCAGTCAGAGGGGCTACAAGAAGGCCCAGTGCCCGAGTTTACTTCCAGCAGGATAGGTGATGGCACCTGCCCCTGCGACTTTGAGGATCACCGACGGCCGTCAGGCCAAGCAGAGGCACCTGCGGTGGGGAGCAGGACTTTTCAGTTATCTACAGTGGAGACGCGAGCAACACCGGACGTCGCAGGTGTGTATCTTTTGCTTTCCTGTCAACTTTTATTCATGATCATATTGTTATGGTACTGCATCTGTGTTAATGATTATATGTTAGAATTTTATTTATGTTCGTGTTCGGATCATATGCCATCTGCATAACATGGATGTTAGGGTAGTAGTCGAAGATGTTTCCCCTTTTTGAGCCGGTTCTCAGGATGCAGTCACTGTAGCAGGTGTGAGTGGGGTTTGGGAAGTGTTCTGTTAGTCTTCAAGAGTGGTTCATATTGGGTATTGTTTGGTTGGAGCGTTAGCAGTGGTAAGTGTTGGATGTCAGCAGATCGACCCCTTAGATGGAGAGAAGGATTGGGAACCCTTCCCAAGTCGGGAGCTGTAGGGATCTAGTCGAATTGAAGTGGGGGAAAACTATCCCAGAGGTCAGGAGCAGGGGTAAGCACAAATTGGGATGAGTTTTCAACTTTGTTGGAGAGGAAAGCAGCCCCAGTGGTTGCTGGGTTAGAGAAGCGTGCGAATTGGGAGTTTGGGAAACTTCCCAACATTGAGTTCGTGTATTCGCGGTAGATGATACCTGGGTGGGAACCAGGTGGGGGATTTTCTCGGCAGGATGCAATTTTAATCAGGATGTAAGACTACGGGCTCACCATAGTAATCTCCAGTAGCTAGACGGAGCGGGAAGAGTAGTAAGGTTGTGGGATAGTCGTGTCATTTCGTTAGCAGTAGTTAGAGGAGTGTGGGCGAGGGCCCGTATCTCCTAGTTAGCATGATGAAGATCGATAGAGAGAGTAGTTTGTTGAGTTTTAGGATGGAGTGGGGCCTGCATAGCCCAATCATAGGTGAGACCTGTGGGAGAGGCCACTCTAAGACGTAGTTGGATGAGACTCGTGGGCGAGGCCCGTATGATTATAGCAGTGCAGGTGGGACCTGGTTGAGACCATAGGGCCAAGTTAGGGGATCGAGGATCCCAGGGCATAGGGAGCCAGAGTGGCGAGGTAGATAGAGCAGTTTTAGATAGCCGAAGTTTCTTCGGAGGTCGCTGGG